GGCCCTGGGTGGTGGCTGCCCCATACCCCCATCTTAGTCCGGGCTCTCTAGAGGAGTGAACCAGTAACCCGCTGCCGTCGAGTCGAGTCTGACTCATGGTGGCCCTATAGGACAGACTAGAACTGCCCCACAGGATTTCCAAGGCGCTTATCTTTACGGAAGCAGACTGCCACATCTTTCTCCTGCAGAGGGGCTGGCAGGTTTAAACTGCCAAGCTTTTGTTTAGCAGCTGAGCACTTAAGCCATGTGTCACCAGGGCTCCTTAAAACCAGTGAAGTGTATATAAATATACATAGAGAGAAATTTAATTCTAGGAAATGACTCCCACAATTGTAGGGGCTGGCAAGTCCCAAATCTGTGGGTCAGGCTACAGGCTGAAGACGTCTGCTAGCTCACGTGGTTGCAGGGGCTGACGAACCCCAAATCTGCAGTTCAGGGGGCAGGCCAGAGACTTCTGCAGGTTACATCCCAAGAACTGGAGGTCAGGTGACGAGTGGACTGCAGGGTCCAGAGAGAGCTCCGGCTTTGCCACACGCCCAAGGAAACGCCCCTTTCAACTGATTGGCTGCTCCCATCAGCTCACAGAATGGAAGGTGATCACGCAGTGTTCCATAAACCACGGAGAATCACAGCCTAGCCGAGCTGACACGCAGCATTAACCATCACCCCTCCGCCCCCAGTTCTCAGTTCCTTGGCGATCTTGTGAGGTGGTATCTGTTTTCCCTCATCCGGACCCACCCTGAGGTTCTATATAGAGGCAAGCCCAATAGCTTGTCTACTGAGGGGCCAGACCTCAGTGGCTGGCACTCCTTGCCATCACCAGTTCTAAGCTCCACAGAGAACCTTTGGTTTAAGCAGAAAGGGCCTCAAGGCCCTTAGGAAGCCTTCTCCTAGCTAAAAGCCCCCGGAAGCAACGTCAGTTTATAATTTTCCGCTGGATTTAATGATTTTTACCATAGTTATGGACTTTCACTTTTTTTTAGCAGCTGAACTTTTACAAAGATTAATTAGAAAACTTAAAAAAGACAAACAGCTTTATTGATAAAGAATGCAGATACCAAACAACTCACCCACTGAGTGTCCAGGTCACTGGTTTTCAGTGTGTTTACGGATTTGTGCAGCCACCGAGCCTTCGAGAATGAGCACTGATGTGCAGCCCCTGCCTGCAACACAGACATAGCCAGGAAGGGCTCCCCAGACACCGCCTGTCTGTATAAGGGGTACCCCCTGCAGCGAGGCTGATCCCTCACAGGCTGCCCACCTCGTCTAACCGCTAACCGCTACTTTTCTCAGCTGTTTCTCACACTGGAGCCCTGCCTGTCCCCTCCCCTCCCCAGTCTGAGGTTCTGCGAGGCTCAGAAGAAGTGCTGCTGGGAGCTTTCACTGAGGACCCATTGTTCCAGCTCGGCAGCTGCAGAGAGCCAGGGCCAACGGGGCTCACTGTAAAAGTTAAAGCAAAATTTTCAAGCAGATGATCAGCGTAGCCGCCTTACTTATTTAGTGCTGCTATAACAAAAATACCACAAGTGGGTGGCCTTAACAAATCGAAATTTATTTCTCACAGTTTAGGAAGCTGGGAGTCTGAATTCAGGGTGCCAGCTCTAGGGGAATGCTTTCTCTCTCTGTCGGCTCTGGGAGAAGGTCCTTGTCTCCTCAGCTTATTTCCTGGTTCCTTGGAGATCTCCATGTGGCTTGGCATCAGTCTTCCCCCATCTCTACTTGCTTGTTTAACCTCTTTTATATCTCAAAAGAAGACTACATATTTCACTATGGATGATACCTCAACATAAAGAAAACAAAAAAACTCAACTAGAGCAATAAAGCAATACCATGATAAAAGGAGAAAATACTGAAGTAGTTAAGGATTTCTTTTTACTTGGATCCACAATCAGCACCCAAGGA